CTATATACGTCACCTCAATCCACGAAGTACCACCCTACATATGTCACCTCAATCCATGAAGTACCACCCTACATACGTCACCTCAATCCAGGAAGTACCACCCTACATACGTCACCTCAATCCAGGAAGTACCACCCTACATACGTCACCTCAATCCAGGAAGTACCACCCTACATACGTCACCTCAATCCATGAAGTATCACCGTACATATGTCACCTCAATCCATGAAGTACCACCCTACATACGTCACCTCAATCCAGGAAGTACCACCCTACATACGTCACCTCATTTTCAAAATATCAACTCCACATTCTAAGACAAATATCACCCCTTCGCGCTGGGAGAAGCTCTTCAAGCTGTACAGGAACATACACTAGGATATCTCTGAATGTCTCCGCCAAACTTTAATGTACCAGTAGAAATATTAATACGCCATCTAAGAAATAACCTACTGACCAGCAGATAGTTATAGAGTCCTCACATATCAGAAGTAACTTTTCAGAATAACCATAACCATGTTCAAGACATAGGAGAGACCATTTTGAATAACGTTTACTTGCAACGTCTCATAATACCACAATCTTCAAATGATACAATACACACGGATACCAAGCGATATATAAATCAAATCTCCATACGATACAAAGCAACTCTTCACTAAGTTACAACGAAAACCATCACTAACGATAAACATCCGAATCACACCTCTTATTACCGCCACTGTACCACTACGTCAGCTCTCTAAATACCACCAACATACTGTAGGGCACGTAACCAAAGTACTTAAGTACTATACAGTAGAATACAGAGTCACATCTCTAAATACCACACATACAGTAGCACACTTAGTCACACCTCTAAATACCACACGTACAGTAGAATACTGAGTTACATCTCTAAATACCACACGTACAGTAGAATACTGAGTCACATTTCTAAACACCACAGACGTACAGTAGAATACTGAGTCACATCTCTAAATACCACAGCCGAACAGTAGAATAGTAACATCTCTACATACCACACGTACAGTAGAATACTGAGTCACATTTCTAAACACCACAGACGTACAGTAGAATACTGAGTCACATCTCTAAATACCACAGCCGAACAGTAGAATAGTAACATCTCTACATACCACAGCCGAACAGTAGAATACTGAGTCACATATCTAAATACCACACGTACAGTAGAATACTGAGTCACATCTCTAAATACCACAGACTTACAGTAGAATACTGAGTCACATCTCTAAATACCACACGTACAGTTGAATACTGAGTCACATCTCTAAATACCACACGTACAGTTGAATACTGAGTCACATCTGTAAGTCACATTTAAAACTAGAACACCAATCTCCATACACCATTTACGTAGCAGAAGGGAGACATCTATGGTGATATACGTTTAGGAGATTTGTCTCTGAAGTCTAAATACTCTTTAACTCAACTCTCGATCATATAGCTTGAAACCTGACTTCGCTATACAATGTATTATGACTGATTATCGTTTGACCTATTCGAATATGCCATGTTAACTGTTCAATTGTTGTAAACCAGTCCGATTTGACATACGTGCGCGCTGTTCCTGAGTCGCGCAGATTACCGGTAATGCATCATTTTGTCAAACGTTCTGGCGACGTTCTTGCGCTATTTTCCGTTCTCTTAATTCCCTATATATCGTTAGTCAGTATATCCGACCTGTATATTCCCGTCGTCTTCAAGGCCCTTGGGACTCATCCTAACCTTAAAATAGGCCTTTTACAGTCTCTCTTTCGTTTTGTGCTTTTACGCAATCCACGAAAATCGGATTAAGGTGTGGTAATTGGCGTTAAGTCGAGCTGATGTTTCTAAATAGGTGGTAAACACAGTAATTCCATAGTTTGTCTAAGTGCTGGGGATAAAGTGGCTTTTCCTGCAATAACTTGGCGGTGAAAGTGTACCTACCTTTGTCTCCTGGTGTCTGGGCATGTCAGGTCCACGTGGACACGAGATATTGTTACAAGTGTATTAAGACCTATCCCAATGTTTTGTATATATATATATATATATCAGATATTGTGTAATTCAGGTTATCAACATTCGGAATGAATATTTTTAGTCTACCAACTTTCACCTCACGATTCGTAATGCTCTTGGACTCTTGTAAAAAACGTTGGAATGAGGAGAAGGTTCTTGGAGTCAATGTCAATGTGGTTTTAAAGACACCAATATTAATTAATCGTGACACTCAACATACCCACTAACGTCCAGTCCGTAAGATGGGACTTATAATGGTGTCAACGTTTGAGATTTCCAACTGTCACGGCAAAGATACCTGTGTTATGTCTAAAACAGTAGGCGCACGAACACAGACAGAGAGGTCAAGAGGTCAGGGGGTGATATGATAGGATTAAATAAACGGTTCAAATAACAAATATTATGAGGAGGTTTGGCTGACTTTTTGAAAATGCGTGCTTTACCAAATTATCATTGGTTAGTTATCTCCCTTTCTCAACTGTCTGCCTGTGTTCAGATCAGAGTTAGGCCTGCCATCCCTACCCCATACCCTTTCTCCCATTTTCTACTTTCACCTTGTGTTTTCTCCATTCAAATCATTTTCCTATATTTTCTCGTCTGCTGAAACGTCGAAAGGCCGCTATAACGGAATAGATAAATTAGTTGGTCAATCGATTTACGTCTGTTCGTTCATCAACGACATCCGCCATGGAAATCTTGTTCAACCAGGTAAATGATGTCACGTTCCCAAACGAGAACAGAGGTAACAAGAATTTGGACGGAGTCATAGGGCATAAAACAGCATTGTACACGCCCAACACGAAACATTACTCTAGACCTTCTTTAACGTGAAAATATCAATACACGAGTAAATTATAGATATATTTGAATAAACAAACGCATAAAAATAAATTTAAACAAAACAGAAGAGAAAAGAAACACGTTTGTACTTGTGTGATGTCATGTTTTTGTTATCTGTGTGGATAGTTCTTACAAATCGTTTTTGTTGATCTGTTTGGGATTGTGTTGTGTGCTGACATTTGAAGTACGCCCAACATCTATTATACACTGAGTATCATCCATTACTACATGACGTTTCGGTTGATTTCTTCTCCATAATAAATTTTAAAATGTCAGCATTTGCAATTGTACTTAAAGAAGGAAAATATTTTAAGAGCAACATAGATAAAATAAAGTTGATTTTAAATTCTTTGAAAAAAAAGCCTTTGCCCTGTACCTTGCGGGGCGTTGCAGGTGACGACAGACCTCGGCACATTATCAAACTAAAATTAGGAAAATATTTTCAAGCATTAAGCAAAAAGATTGGGTGTTCGATGATTTGTAAAACTTTAAGTGATTTCGCACCTGTCGGTCTCGTGCAAGATAATCACCCGAGCAAATCGTACTTCTTAACTCATGTAGACGTAATCAGAGAGTGGGAGGTGTGGTCATTGTACATGTGTACGCTATCTAGATCCGTTAGAATACTCTTTATTCGTCGATTACCTGTCGATGATGACATGGCAGTAAATGACGTCTTCCTGATGGTTCCACCACATACGACCACTCTGATAAAGTTCCGAAGTCAGATTCCTCAATATGTCGTAAATACAAAGGTGTACATTTTACATTTTTTGAAGAGTTATCTATTACGGGGTTAGGACAAATACCGAAGCCGAGATCTGACTGTGTGTGTACTTCGCTTTAGATAGACGAACCCTATAAAAAAACCTAATCTTATCGTCAAAGAATATCCATTATGTGCGTGTTTAGGACCCGTGTATATCATATCAATAGTGTCTTGTAAAATTATCTTCTAGAGCAATTATTGATTGTGAAGAATTATGAACCATCTGAAACCGCCTATCGGTGTTAAGGCGTGGGTGGACAAGACTCTATCTATTTTGCGTGGGTGGATTTTAGGCACTGTCGAAGACAGTGGAGGGTAAAACTGTGCGTGAGCCTTTCCTTCTCCATGGCAACAACACTGGCTACGAGTGTCGGGGGACGGTAACATGTGAGAAATGGAGAGTTTTGTCATGAAATATCCGAAGTTCTAAATTAAACATGATTTTTATTTCAAACTAAACTAGACAGAGCATTGAAAAGACTGGGTAGGGCCAGATACAGTAAGGGAAGGTTTGGAGAGAGGACTAAGCGAATTTTGAAAGTGATTGAGTTTAACAGACCATGTTAAAGTATCAAAGCAATAGTGCTCAGTTTGATGGGTCTAAGTCTGATGGTCAGACAGACAATACCGAGCATTTTACAGAATGGCTGAAAACAAAGTCAGATACGACAGGGTTGGTCTTGAATCAGAGACAGAAAGGGAAGGTTAAGGGTCAGAGACAGGAAGATAAAGGTTGGTGACAGACAACGGTAGGAAATGGTTCCTGTCAGAAACAGGGAGTGAAGGGTTGTGGTAAAATACATGGAGTGAAGGGTTGGGGTCAGAAACAAGATAGGTTTTAGTCAGACACAGGAATTGAAGGTTTGGGTTCAGATACAAGGAGTGAAGGTTTGGGGTCAGACAGAGGGATTGAAGGTGTGGGGTCAGACACAGGAACTCAAGGTTTGGGTTCAGATACAGGGATTGAAGGTTTGGAGTCAGACACAGGAATTGAAGGTTTGGTAGTGAAGGTTTGGGGTAAGACACAGGAAGGGAAGGGTTGGGGTCCGACACACGAAGGGAAGGGTTGTCGTCAGACACAGGAATGGAATGGTTGGGCTTAGACACAGGAAGGGAAGGTTTGGGGTAAGACACAGGGAGGGGAGGGTTGGGGTAAGATATAGGAAGGGACAGGTTGGGGTCAGACACAGGAAGGGAAGGGTTGGGGTCAGACACACGAAGGGAAATGTTGTCGTCAGACACAGGAATGGAATGGTTGGGCTCAGACACAGGAAGGGAAGGTTTGGGGTAAGACACAGGGAGGGGAGGGTTGGGGTAAGATATAGGTAGGGACAGGTTCGGGTCAGACACAGGAAGGGAAGGGTTTGGGTCAGAGACATGAAGGGAAGGGTCCTGGCCAGACACAGGAAGGGAAGGTTTGGGGCAAGACACAGAAAGGTAAGGGTTGGGGGTCAAAGACGGGAAGGGAAGGGTTGGGGTCAGACACAGGGAGTGAAGGTTTGGGGCCAGACACAGAAAGGTAAGGGTTGGGGTCAAACACAGGAAGGGGAGGGTTGGGGTCAAACACGGGAAGGGAAGGGTTGGGGTCAAACACGGGAAGGGAAGTGTTGGGGTCAAACACGGGAAGGGAAAGGTTGGGGTCAAACACGGGAAGGGAAGGGTTGGAGTAAGACACAGGGAGTGAAGGTTTGGGGTAAGACAGAGGGAGTGACGGTTTGGGGTAAGACACAGGAAGGGGAGGTTTGGGGTCAGACACAGGGAGTGAAGGTTTGGGGCCAGACACAGAAAGGTAAGGGTAGGGGTCAACCACAAGAAGGGGAGGGTTGGGGTCAAACACGGGAAGGGAAGGGTTGGGGTCAAACACGGGTAGGGAAGGGTTCTGGTAAGACATAGGGAGGGGACGATTAGGGTTAGAAACGGGAAGGGGAGGGTCGGGGGTCAGACACAGGAAGGGAAGGGTTGGGGTCAGACACAAGAAGGGAAGGGTTGGGGTCAGACACAGGAACGGAAGGGTTGGGGTCAGACACAGGAACGGAAGGGTTGGGGTCAGATACAGTGATTCAAGGTATGGGGTCAGACATAGGAATTGAAGGTTTGGGGTCAGACACAGGAATTAAAGGTTTGGGGTCAGACACAGGGATTGAAGGTTAGGGGTCAGATACAGGAATTGAAGGTTTGGGGTTACACACAGGGATTGAAGGTTTGGGGTCAGATACAGGAATGGAAGGGTTTGGGTCAGACACAGAAACGGAAGGGTTCAGGTCAGACACAGGAATGGAAGGGTTGGAGTCAGATACAGGAAAGGAAGGGTTTTATTCAGACACAGGAATTGAAGGTTTGGTTTCAGATACATGGAGTGAAGGTTTGGGGTCAGACACAGGGATTGAAGGTGTGGGGTCAAACACAGGAATTGAAGGTTTGGGGTCAAATACAGTGATTCAAGGTTTGGGGTCAGACACAGGAATTGAAGGTTTGGGGTCAGATACAGGGATTGAAGGTTTGGGGTCAGACACAGTGATTCAAGGTTTGGGGTCAGACACAGGAACGGAAGAGTTGGGGTCAGATACAGGGATTGAAGGTTTGGGGTCAGATACAGGGATTGAAGGTTTGGGGTCAGATACAGGGATTGAAGGTTTGGGGTCACACACAAGAATTGAAGGTTTGGGGTCACACACAGGAATTGAAGGTTTGGGGTCACACACAGGAAGTGAAGGGTTTGGGTCAGACACAGGAAGAGAAGGGTTGGGGTCAGATACAGGAAGGGAAGGGTTGGGGTCAGACACGGGAAGGGTAGGGTTGGGGTCAGACACGGGAAGGGAAGGGTTGGGGTCAGACACGGGAAGGGGAGGTTTGGGGTCAGACACAAGAAGGGAAGGGTTGTTTTCAGACACAGGAAGCTTAGTGTAGAATATCAGCATACTTTACAAATAAACATGGTTTTCTTGTACGAATTCACCCGGCTCCCCTTGGCTTTGTTTGAAGATGGTCCGGGATGTGATTCAGTTAACCCTCCGTCACGCCCTGATTTACACGAGTATATCCGGTCAGTCATCCTATATCTACTACTGGTTGTTTGTATGATTTAATCAAAATGACGGGACTTCGCTGCCTCTAGGGAATCTGAGGTATCAAATATATTTACAAATGACAAACATATCGGATAACGTTTGTAGTTCTTAATTTGTACACGTAGAATATACACCTGACAACGGGGACATTAGAAAATTGTATATAAGCTCCAAGGCCATCATTTTTTTTAAATGAAATATCTTTTATGAAAATTTTATTTCATCTTGGATTACGTTGAAACGTGTGCAGCTTCTCTTAAACGACGACGGTTTTAATGACAGAGGTCAGCTAGGGGATCATATAAAGGCGTTCTGACACCTCTGCCCATGAATTATACAATTCCTTATATGGTAGCTGATAGTTAATGAAATGTTAGGACAATATCGAGAGAAGTAAGACAAATGCTACCTCAGGCACACGTGATGAAGACAACTCCAGGCAATTTATTGCTGATATAACTTTCAAAGTGTAGTTGGATCGAGTTTTTCAGAGGCTTGAAAGAGTTATGCGTCTACAGACCATTAAACTTTAAACGTAAGCCTCAGTGTGTATTCATTGTAGATATTCATACATAAAGGCAAAGCGCATAATTACAAAGTTAACATCTGTAGTTGTAGTGACGATATGTGTAAATTTGAAGTTGTGTGTGATGATATTGTAAATATGGAGTCGTTTGTGGTGATTTGTGTAAATATGGAGTTGTGTGTGATAATATTGTAAATATGGAATCGTTTGTGGTGATTTGTGTAAATATGGAGTTGTGTGCGATAATATTGTAAATATGGAGTCGTTTGTGGTGATTTGTGTAAATGTAGAGTTGTGTTTGATATGTATATATATGGAGTCGGTTGTGATGATTTGTGTAAATATGGAGTTGTGTGTGATGATATGTATATATATGGAGTCGGTTGTGATGATTTGTGTAAATATGGAGTTGTGTGTGATGATATATATATATATATATATATATGGAGTCGGTTGTGATGATTTGTGTAAATATGGAGTTGTGTGTGATGATATGTATATATATGGAGTCGGTTGTGATGATTTGTGTAAATATGGAGTTGTGTGTGATGATATATATATATATATATGGAGTCGGTTGTGATGATTTGTGTAAATATGGAGTTGTGTGTGATGATATGTATATATATGGAGTCGGTTGTGATGATTTGTGTAAATATGGAGTTGTGTGTGATGATATGTATATATATGGAGTCGGTTGTGATGATTTGTATAAATATGGAGTTGTGTGTGACGATATTGTAAATATGGAGTTTTGTGTAATAATATGTATAGATATGGAGTTGTGTGTGGCGATGTGGATAAACAGAGTTTTGGTGGCGATATATGTAAATATGGAGTTGTTGTGGCGATATGCGAGTGGCGAGTATTGTGTTAAAATATCTATAAATATGAAGTTATATATAGGGTACTTCATTGATATTGAGTTGTGTGTTACGATATCTATAAATATGGAGTTGTTTATTACGATATATATAAATATACAGTTGAGTGCTACAATATATATAACTATGTATTTATGTGTTACAATATCTAAATATGGAGGTATGTGTTCGGATATCTATAAATATGGAGGTATGTGTTACAATATCTTTAAATATTGAGGTATGTGTTCGGATATCTATAAATATGGAGGTATGTGTTACAATATCTATGAATATGGAGGTATGTGTTCGGATATCTATAAATATGGAGGTATGTGTTCGGATTTCTTTAAATATGGAGGTATGTGTTCCAATATCTATAAATATACAGTTGGGCGTTAAGAAATCTATAAAGATGGATAGTGTGTTACCAATTCTATGTATACAAAGTTGAGTGTAGGAATATGTATATATGTATACATTTGTTGTGTATAGAGTTCAGTATATCACGATATCTATAAATATGGAGTTGTGCTCTGTGATAACTAATATAGAGTTTTTGTGTATGTGATAATTAATATAGAGTTTTTGTGTATGTGACAATATAGAGTTTTTGTGTATGTGATAATATAGAGTTTTTGTGTATGTGATAATATAGAGTTTTTGTGTATGTGATAATATAGAGTTTTTGTGTATGTGATAATATAGAGTTTTTGTGTATATGACAATATAGAGTTTTTGTGTATATGATAACTAATATAGAGTTTTTGTGTATGCGATAACTAATATAGAGTTTTTGTGTATGTGATAATATAGAATTTGTGTGTATGCGATAACTAATATAGAGTTTTTGTGTATGTGATAATATAGAGTTTTTGTGTATGTGATAACTAATATAGAGTTTTTGTGTATGTGATAATATAGAGTTTTTGTGTATGCGATAACTAATATAGAGTTTTTGTGTATGCGATAACTAATATAGAGTTTTTGTGTATATGACAATATAGAGTTTTTGTGTATGCGATAACTAATATAGAGTTTTTGTGTATGTGATAATATAGAGTTTTTGTGTATGTGATAACTAATATAGAGTTTTTGTGCATGTGATGATATAGAGTTTTTGTGTATGTGATAACTAACATAGAGTTTTTGTGTAGCGATAACTAATATAGAGTTTTTGTGTATGTGATAATATAGAGTTTTTGTGTATGTGACAATATAGAGTTTTTGTGTATATGATACCTAATATAGAGTTTTTGTGTATGTGATAACTAATATAGAGTTTTTGTGTATGTGATAACTAATATAGAGTTTTTGTGTATGTGATAACTAATATAGAGTTTTTGTGTATGCGATAACTAATATAGAGTTTTTGTGTATGTGATAACTAATATAGAGTTTTTGTGTATGCGATAACTAATATAGAGTTTTTGTGTATGTGATAACTAATATAGAGTTTTTGTGTATGTGATAATAATATAGAGTTTTTGTGTATGCGATAACTAATATAGAGTTTTTGTGTATGTGATAACTAATATAGAGTTCTGTGTATGCGATAACTAATATAGAGTTTTTGTGTATGTGATAACTAATATAGAGTTTTGTGTATGCGATAACTAATATAGAGTTTTTGTGTATGTGATAATATAGAGTTTTTGTGTATGTGATAACTAATATAGAGTTTTTGTGTATGTGATAACTAATATAGAGTTTTTGTGTATGCGATAACTAATATAGAGTTTTTGTGTATGTGATAATATATAGAGTTTTTGTGTATGTGATAATATATAGAGTTTTTGTGTATGTGATAATAATATAGAGTTTTTGTGTATGATAACTAATATAGAGTTTTTGTGTATGTGATAATTTTTGTGTATAATATAGAGTTTTTGTGTATGTGATAATATATAGAGTTTTTGTGTATGTGATAACTAATATAGAGTTTTTGTGTATGTGATAATATAGAGTTTTTGTGTATGTGATAATAATATAGAGTTTTTGTGTATGTGATAATATATAGAGTTTTTGTGTATGTGATAATATAGTTTTTGTGTATGTGATAACTAATATAGAGTTTTTGTGTATGTGATAATATAGAGTTTTTGTGTATGTGATAATAATATAGAGTTTTTGTGTATGTGATAATAATATAGAGTTTTTGTGTATGTGATAATATATAGAGTTTTTGTGTATGTGATAACTAATATAGAGTTTTTGTGTATGTGATAATATAATATAGAGTTTTTGTGTATGTGATAATAATATAGAGTTTTTGTGTATGTGATAATATAGAGTTTTTGTGTATGTGATAATAATATAGAGTTTTTGTGTATGTGATAACTAATATAGAGTTTTTGTGTATGTGATAATATAGAGTTTTTGTGTATGTGATAATAATATAGAGTTTTTGTGTATGTGATAATAATATAGAGTT